TATGAGCGGACCTTTGATTTGGATCGGAGTGGTTCGGTGCTAGTATGTGCTGTTTGTTTCTTCTACGATTTATTTTTTCTTTCAAAGAATATGATTTAATTAGGGATGACCGCTGGCTGTGGGTGTTTTATGTTCTCTGGTGTTGGTTGGTTTCTTGGATTTGTTCGGAGTGAGGTATTGTATGTCGGTGAATCTACTTGAATTTTGATTGAGATGGCTTCGTTCGGGAAATTGTTCTTTTATTGGTTGTTACGAAATTCTGGTTATTTTGTGCTTTTTGGCTGTGCTTGCTGGTTTTATTTTCAAAATTTGTCGCCCTTTACTTTTTCAAACAGAAGCAACAGATTTACTGCAGAAGTTGTCGTTAGACACTCAACCGAAGGCCCTGGAAATTCCGGAACCAACCAAGAAGGTAATTGTTATTTGTTTTCCGGTTATATGATACTGTGTCAGTATGCGAGTTGCCTGTTTCTGCTGGAGAAGAACTTTTAATATTACGATTGAACGAACTTGTGATACTGCAAGTTTTCTGAATTTTTCAACAACGGCAGATGAAAATAAGTTGACATGTCTTGGAAATTGTACCTGTCTATGAGTTTTAAAATAAGAGTTTTGTCAAATCTTGTGTAGGCCACTGGCAACCAGTATGGATCCGTTGATACTGGGAATGCTGCAAATGGTCAGATCCCATCGTGTGAACGCTCTGTGACACCATTATTACAAGATTTTATTGATCCCACTATGTGTTACCTCCCAAATGGGTACCCGTCGACTGCCTATTATTATGGAGGTGAGTCGATGCAGATATTTATGACTGTATGTATTGATACAAAGTACTGGTGAAGTTTATTACCAGATAGTCGTCTTCTGTACGCTGAAACGTGTGCTTTGTAGGTTATGAAGGGACTGGAAATGAGTGGGATGATTATTCGAGATATGTGAATCAAGATGGAGTTGAGATGACTTCTGTAATTTCTTATATGCTTCAGCTCATGAATTTTTTTTATGGATGATTATCTTTATGGACAATGTTTGCCTTACTTGCATTTCCCCCACTTACAGGGAGTTTATGGGGATAACGGGTCGCTCATGTATCATCATGGATATGGTTATGCACCCTATAGCCCTTATTCACCAGCTGGCTCTCCAGTTCCAACAGTGGGAAATGATGGTCAGTTGTATGGGCCTCAACATTATCAGTATCCTCCCTATTTTCAGCCAATGACACCCACGAGCGGACAGTTCATGCCTACTCCTGTTGTCCCAACTCAGGGTGATGTTACCACCTCTGTAGCTGCTGACCAAAAGCCTCTTCCTGTGGAAACAACTAATGGGAATTCCAATGGCATCAACAATGGTGGGACTGTGAAGGGAAATAATGGTGCTAACCCTGGGAAACCAGCCTATCAAGTCTCATCTTTTAATTCCAATGCTTCATATGGAAGAGGTAACATGCCCGGTCGTATTCCTACTTCAGGTTACCAGGATCCACGATTTGGTTTTGATGGATTGCACTCACCTATTCCATGGTTAGATGCCCCACTATTTTCAGATGGACAGCCGCGGCCCGTTGCTAGCACGACACTCACTTCCTCAATATCTGGTGGAAATAATATGACTGCGTCCCGGAATCAGAGTTTTCGCCCTGGCTCTCAATTTATGGTGCGTTGGTAGCATATTCTGACTATTTGTAATGTCCTGCAAGTCTTTGAATTTGTTCACTTTTCAATTACCAAGTGATTTGAATTGATTGGATTTTGCTTTCTTGATTATCAGGCCTAGTATTTCTTGTATATGATTTTAATGACTGGCTTGCTTTTCTTAGGGTTTGCACCATCCAAGACCAATGCCTGCCATGGGAGCCACTCATGGCTTCATAAATAGAATGTATCCTAACAAATTATATGGTCAGTATGGGAACACAGTTAGATCTGGCATGGGATATGGAACACATGGGTATGATTCTCGGACAAATGGACGTGCTTGGCTGGCTGTTGACAACAAGTACAAAAATAGGGGACGAAGTGGTGGTTACTTTGGTTATGGTAATGAGAACATGGACGGTTTGAATGAACTCAACAGGGGACCAAGAGCCAAGGGCAGCAAGAACCAGAAGGGCTTTGCTCCAACTGCCTTAGCAGTGAAGGGGCAGAAGCTGCCTACAAATTTAAGCAATGATGATGAGAAAGAGGAGACAAGTGTTGTTCCAGACCGTGACCAATATAACAAAGCTGATTTTCCAGAGGAATTGGCTGATGCTAAATTTTTTATCATCAAGTCTTACAGTGAAGATGATATTCATAAAAGCATCAAATATAACGTGTGGGCCAGCACGCAAAATGGCAACAAGAAGCTTGATGCAGCATATCAGGAAGCTCAGCAGAAGCCTGGTGGCTGTCCTGTGTTCCTTTTCTTCTCGGTTAGTTTCTCTATCCTTGTGTTTTTTAATTGTGTCCTGTTATCATGTAGCTGTTATCTCACTTGCTAAATTTCTGTGCAGGTTAATACCAGTGGGCAATTTGTCGGCCTTGCTGAGATGATTGGTCCCGTTGATTTTGACAGGAGCGTTGAGTATTGGCAACAAGACAAATGGAATGGTTGTTTTCCTCTTAAGTGGCACATAGTCAAGGATATTCCCAACAATTTGTTGAGGCACATCACCTTGGACAACAATGAGAACAAACCAGTCACTAACAGTAGGGATACTCAAGAGGTAATCAGGAATGCCCGTCATCTTATGTTCATTTGGCTTAATTCTAGTGTTTTTTTTTTCTTTTTTTTTGGGCGGGTTATCTGAACAAGTTTGTCCACAGGTGATGCTTGAACCAGGGAATAAAATGATTAAAATTTTCAAGGAGTACGTCAGCAAGACTTGCATTTTGGATGATTTTGGGTTTTATGAGGGCCGACAAAAGACAATTTTGGAGAAGAAAGCGAAGCAGCAATTCCCCAAGCAGGCATGAATCTTTTAAATTTCTTTAATGCTTTTTATGTTGTACATTTAGATTTGAAGTTCGGCCCTTGTGCTTAGGGTAATTATGAAATAATGAATCTACGATGTCATTGGATCCTATGAATGCAGGTATGGGAAGGGAAGCCTACTGATGACAAAGTTGAAGTAAACGGGGAGGTTGAGGCTCAAAAACCTGATGTTGCCCCTGGATTGCTCAAGGAGTCTAACCAAACTGAGAAAGTTGGTGATGACCACAAACCAGCAGAGAATGGATCTGTTATAAATGCTGGAGATGCCCTGAAGGGTGCCAAGCCAGTTGTAGCTGAGAAGATTGTAGCCAATGGGGTTGCCAACGGTTGCTAACCTCTGCCATATTTAATGATGGCGGTGCTGCTGTCTGTACTGTTTCTTAGCCTGTAATGCTAAGCTACCGGCTGCCGCCTGATTCAATCTGTCTTGTTTTCTCTTTAAATCTGAAGATGACAATTGGCTGACAAGTGGAGGAGATAAAGATCTGTATATTTTGGAGCTTGTCAAGGCAGAGTAGTTCATAGAATGCTTAGTGTCAACCCCTTTTTCGCTGGGTTTTGGTTACAGTGGTTAGCTCCTAACAGGTTTTCTTGTTCCTAGGGTTTTGGGTTTTAGGTTTCATGTCCAAGTGATGCTATATCTTATGGCCTTTTTACCTTTTCTCTTTTTTTGGGGGCTTTATCTTTTTCTTATTTTCTCCTTTTTTCCATATTTGGTTTGTTATTTCCTGTCTTGTAAATCTAGATCTACTCTGGTGCGGAGCCTCATTGCTTTTGTTACTTGCAAGAGAGCTAGAAGAAAGGTGGGAAAATATTGAAATATAGCTGGCTTTAAGTAGCTTGGTTTCTCTTTTATTTTAGTTATATTTCGTTATGTTACCGATTGTTGACTCTGCGTATCTTGAATGAATAATCTGTTAGTGGATATTGGTTGGGGTGGACAGGTTAATTAAACCTGTGCCCTTTTCGTTTTCTTCCTTCCGAGGTTGATGGCAAGATTTGCCATATGTTATAATTGGAAGGTAACTTGTGTTTTGGGGGGGTTCAAAATCCAACCTTCTTGTCAGGGTTAGGTTAGTTACAATACTGTGTTTTGGGCCGGGGGTGGATTTGTGGTGGACTGGTTTGGGTCATTTTCCATGATTGCTCACTCCGAAAAATAAGAAGCCGATGATTACTTAATATTCTTTTGTTCGAAGCTGTAGCCCTTTGAATGATGCGTGGTTTTCTACGCGACTGTTGTATACTGATGGTCTAGCCGAACATGTTGATGTGACAAAAGCGAAGCCAAGGATTGCGAATAAACCCATGAAAAAGGGCATCAATGATGATGGTGGTACTTTAGGAGGCGGAGTGAGGATCATGAATTCAATGGAACTCTGATTGTGATCCTGATGATACTGACGGAGTGAAACAAATGCTCACTTGTGAAATGAATCCCATAATGCTACTAAAGGCCCAACTAGTTCCAACCTCTTATTTGATACCGTCCAACTGTCCCAGTTCCTCACGAATCATGTCAGCAAATTAGCATTCATCAATTCTAGACCCACCTTCTATGAAGTCCAGTTGATTATAAGAAAATCACATGGCTAATCTGCCTTTAAGATGAGTTCAAACCTTTAAGCTCATCACCCAACCTTGCTAAAATATCATATTGAACCTCAATAAACTCTATCTAAAAATTCTGCATTCTTCGTTTCAGCCATGTCACACCTAGGAAAAGAGAACACCTTGTCAAATGAAAATATTCCAGTGACCTCATCTTCAACCTTCCGAATAACAGAAGCAACTTCCTCCCCTCTAACTGCTTTCTTCAAAACTAATCGAATTTCCTTCAACTTTAGTGAGCTTGGAAATAACCATGATAAATCTCTCACGCGTTCATCCTCTGAAACTTTATACAAATTAAGGGAGGGATTAAAAAAATAGTAAACTTAATTGAAATCATTCAAAAAGATCTTAAAAATGAGCAAACTGGAAATGAAAAAAAAACTTTATTTATGGATTGGTGAAACTGTATTTATTCTAAAAGATAGGATAATATCTTATTCAAATTAAAAATAAACTAGGTCTAACACACAAGATAATTGCAAATTTCTTATTTTTCATCTTAAAAGAAAGAAATATACACCACGCATTCCGTCAATGGCGTTTTGAAGAAGAAGCGCGGATCAGAAAGACATAGAAGGAAATGGGTGAAGCCTTGGCAGGGGGACACAAGCCAAGGGGTGAGCCCTTGGAACAGTAATCCCAGCCTTTTCCTCCATACTGATCTTGCCATCCACCTTCCATTCGAAGCACTGAATCATGGCAGCAAGATTGGTTTGCACAACCTGAAGAGCCAGTGAAGTCCCAGGACATCCTCTTCTTCCACTTCCAAAAGGAATGTACTGAAAATGTTGACCCCTCACATCTAATTGACTCTCTCCGTCCCCATCTTCACTCATAAATCTCTCTGGCCTAAACTCATCTGGGTTCTTCCAATGATTAGGGTCTCTACCAATAGCCCACACATTTATAAATAATCGAGTCTTCTCTGCAATTTCATACCCACAAACTACAGAGCTTCTTGATGATTCCCTGAAGAGCAATGGTCCTGCAGGGTGAATCCTCAATGCTTCTTTGACTATAGCTTGAAGGTAAGGAAGTTTTGCTATGTCTGATTCTCTTACTATTCTGTTATTACCGATTACTGAATCAATCTCTTGTCTTGCCTTCTCCATTACATGTGGATGGTTGATTAACTCCGCTAGAGCCCATTCAATGGTTATGGCTGTAGTGTCTGTTCCTGCCACAAATATGTCCTGTATATGTATAATTTGTAGTTTGGCAAGTTAGTTGTTGGTGATGGCATGAATATAAAATTTGGGCTTTGAGACTCTAATGTGCCTTTCTTTAATGCTCTTGAATGATAATGATAATGGGGCAACTTCCTAAGTGTTATTTTTTGGACTCGTTTTATTATTATTATTATTAGATTCTATAGAAAATGACTGACACTTTGATATCTTATGAAGATGAAATAATGCCATTTTGAATTTTTTTTTATCATTTTTCATAAAGTAGATTTCTTTGAAAAACTGTGAAAAATTTAAAATTGTATTTTTTTGAGGGATTTTTTTTTGGGGGGGGGGGCGTTGTTACACTAGACGTCTCAAACCCATGAACATAGTGACTCAACGCATATTATGGCGATAATATGGTGCAGTTTTGAAAATTTTTTTTAATGATTTGAAAAAAGCTTAAATTTAGATTTTTTTTTGAAAAATCATAAAAAAATTCAAAATTGTACTATTCTGTTACTGTAAGACGTCAAAATGTCACTTATGTTATTTAGAATCTAGTGATAAAAAGAAAAAAAAATATTCAAAAGGTTGGGCATTGCAAAAGAGTATTAAAGGAAGGCATATTAAGTCACCAAACCATAAATTTTAGAGCACAATGCATAATTTACAGCTAGCCATGTTAGTTGTTACTGATAATAGTATAAACATAAAATAATCTGGAACATAATAATGACTCAACTTACAAAGATAAAGGCCTTGATATTTTCTTTCGTCAATTTCTTCTCGGGGTTTTCATCTTCATATATGTCTAACAAAACATCCAGAATATCCCCAGCTTCATCTCCTCTAATACCCATCTCTTTCCTTTTCCTCCTTTCTTCTTGATGCTCTTCAATGATTCTTTCCATCAACTTATCAAACCTCTCTCGAACTTCCTTCAACCTCTTGTTGAATCCCTGCAAATCCAATATTCTGCAGAACGAAATGAAGTCTGATATGTTAAACTTCCCAGTTAACTCAGCAGCATCCACGACCAGCTTCCTCACCACGTCAGCATCATCTTCATTCTCAGAACTCGTCCGACTCACAGCCATTCTTGATATTATGTTATTCGAAAGCTCTATAAGTTCTGCTCCAACATCCACCTTTTCGCCACCTTTCTGAAGCAAAGTGTTCAGAAATCTCTTCTTTTCTTGCTCCCTCACCAGAAGGAATCGATCGAGCATTCTCCCATTTAGAAGTTCAGACATGCACATCTTCTTCATGAACTTCCAGTAGGGTCCGTAAGGGGCAAATAGGAAATCTTGGAGTTCGTAGGTTAAGTGTTTGATAGCAACAGTGCGAGATGGTCGATTTGAGAAGGAAAGTTCGTGAGTTTTAAGGAATTCTTTAGCAGTTTCAGCAGTTGAAACGACCACACAGGGTTCAGACCCGAGGGAAAGATGGATGATGGGACCATAACGGAGAGAAAGATTGTAGAAATCTCTGTGAGGAAGAGAGGAAAGAAGATGAAGATGTCCGATGATAGGGAGGGAAAATGGGGTGGGAGGAAGATGAGCTTTCTTCTTCTGTTTTGTTTTGAGTATTATTGTTCGAACTAAGATGGTGGAAAGTAACCAAATGAAGAAAGCTTGGATGTAGAATTGGAAATCGGAAGAATCTGCCATTGTTGAATTTCTGATGAGCTTCAGAAGAATCTGGGAAACTTAAAAGATTATTGTCACCGAATATGGACACGTTTCCCAGCATAAATTTAGATCTTGAAACTTCTTCCGCTGCATTTTGGGTATATGTATTTATTAAGGGAGGCAGAACAATCTGGTTACAATAAAATATAATATCATGTGACGGGCTTATCTCAACTTGCCTTGCATCTTCATGGCGGCTTATGCAACATGCTTTGTCGGATTTGGGGTGTGAGTTCGGCTTTGATTTTCTTCCACTTTTCTAATGTTTATTTCCTACTTGTTTATTTTTATCGTTAGATTCTATGTAAAATAAGTCATGTTCTGATATCATGTGGACAAAAAATGATGCAATTTTAAATTTTTACGACTTTTCAAAGAATTTGTATGTAAATTAAAAAGAAGGTACAGCAATTTTAGAGTATTTTTTCTTTAAAAAAATCAGAAAAAATTGAAAATTGCTGCATGTTTTGCCCATTAGATATCAAAATGTTAGTCATTTTATGTCCAATTCAATGATAAAAGAAAACGAGAAAAAATATTCGAAAAGTAGGGGGGGGGGGAAAAAGAAGTAATGGAGAGGGCAGCTCACACCCTAAATTTTGATTCACAATCTTTTAAAGAAACTTGTATAACAAATCTCAGGACTTAAATTTGAGTATTGGTACTCTTATAAAATTTTATTGATAATAAGCACTTAAATTGGAGTATTGGTACTCCTATAAAATTTGCAGCGTATTGATTTGTTCTGATTACAAAATATAGGGTACGTCACGACAATATTTTGCTGGATAATTAATTCCTTAACTTGTTACAGACATATTTGACTATTTTTTTTTATAGGGTTGACATAGTTTTTTGTCTCTCATAATTTTTAGGGATCAAAATAAAAATAAAAATAAACTATAAGAATCAAACATTATATTAATTGTTTAAGTAATATTAAGCGATTTTTTAAAACACTTAATTAAACAATGAGATCTTATAAAAAGGTGATCAAAAGTAGTATTTTGCCATGCCTGCCAATGTTTTAAAAACTGGATTGGAAATCAAAGTGGAGGGAGTAGTAGGTCATTGTTCAAATGGTTAGATCAGTCAGACCGTCCGGTCAGATGAGTGATGCAATAATTAAATAAAAAATATCATGTACATGTAACTAATATGTATAAAATAAATTTATAGTAAGTATAATAATTATTATTAACATATGATATCTCAATAAAAAATTTAAAATAAAAATGAAGATATGTTAAAAACTCATAAACTTTTGTTGACCTCTTTTTCTTCATTTGCTATAATAGTAAGTTAATAACATCTATTTTTATTTGCAAAAAGTATAAATATTTGAATAAATTAATTTATAAATTTACAGTGTGATCCGTTAATCCATTGAAAAATAAAAAGGGTAAAATGAAAATAGAGGTTTTATTTTTTTCCGTTTTATTCTTCATTTCTTTTCAATTTTTGAGATGCTTTAGTGCTTTTTGACTTTCCATGTACGTTTCTAAGGATTATATTTATTTCTTAGCATTTCAAGACACCTCTTCCTTTTAACTATTGGATCAGAACTACCAGGCAACATCTTGCGACCATCGACATATTTTCAGTTAAAAAAATTTCAAACTCCAACCGTTCACTTAGTTTCAGTGACCTCAAGATCTACCTTAGACTGTGCTTTATGTCTTGCGCTTCTGGTGTACATTCTTTTCATTTTGCTGGTATCTACTATTTTCAAGGATAGGTGTGAGTTTGTAACTCAGGCTGAATAGAGTTGAGTGAGTTATTTGTCATAATCTAAACTCTATTTTTTTATATAGCCTTGTAAATATTTTTTTTAATCTTTCCTTAACTTTCTTCATCTTCTTTTTCACTTTCTTCCATTTCACAATGGTGTAGCATACCTGTCTGACAAATTTGGGCCAAATGGTTGCTCAAAAACTGCCCCGGGTTCTGATTTAACTCCGGCTCTTGGCTAAATGGCTGGTTATAAGCCATCCAAAATAGCCTAGCTGATTAAGCAGTCAAACCACGAAAAATGAGTCGGAGAACTCTTCGATAATTGGCCGGACCGGTCCAACTGTTTGGTCCAGTTTGGTTTTTAAATCATTGATGCCTACCCAATCACACGCATGATAGAAGGAAGGGTGTTTAGGATGTGACCAAGGACACGTGTCAACGGACGAGCCATCTTGAGGTGGAAGATATAGCTCGGTTCCAGCCATGAACAAATTCATAAGTGGGGGATAAAGTTGCTATGCTAAAAGGGGAAAATGAAGAATGGGTAGAGGAAGAAGCTGAGTTACCGTCACTGAGACTAGCCAGAAATTTTTTTGTTGATCTTTTTACTGAAGAAGGGATTGAATGTGGTGGTGGGAGGTTGTTCCACCGATGGAGGAAGATAGTTTGATGAATATGTGTAGAAGATTAATTGAAGAGTAAATTTACATGGGGGTCTTTAAAGCTATTGGGGAGAATGGGTATCCTCCCTATTTTTTCAAAAAGAATGGGATATTGTTGGGCAAGATATTTGCCATTATGTTAGAAGTTTATGGCATGGCTGTTCAGACATGAAGGAAATTAATAAAACTTTAGTAGCACTTATTTTTAAGGTTGATAGACCTAAATCTCTTAAGCAAATGAGACCCATAGCACTATGCAATATGTTCTATAAGTGCTTGACCAAAATTGTGGTTAATCGGTTAAAGAGATGTTTAAAGGAAATGATTGCTCCTAATCAAGCTAGCTTTATATCTGGTCATTTTATCTAGGACAACATCATAGTTGCCCAGGAAGTTGTTCAAACTATAAAGAGGATGAGAGGGAAGAAAGGGTTCTTTGCTATTAAGATCAACCTTGAGAAAGCTGATGATAGGCTGCGTTGGAGTGTTTTAGAAGATGTTTTGGAGGAAGTTAAGCTAAAGGAGGAGTTCGGAAGTATTATTATGAGATGTATTTCTACAGTGTTCACTTAGATTCTATAGAATGGAACAAAGACAGAGGCTTTTTCTCCTACTAGAGGCATTCATCAAGGGGATCCTTTATCCCCTTATCTATTTATCTTAGCTATGAAAACTCTCCCACATGATACAAGATAAGAGGAGGAATGGGAGTTGGAGAACCTTAAGAATAGGGAGATCTGGTCTTGAGATCACTCATTTGATGTTTGCCGGTGACTTAATTGTATTTGGAGAAGCTATAGAAGTTTAGATGGAAGTGACTCTAAGAAGCTTGAGTAAATTTTGTCAGTTTCTAGGGGAAAAAGTGAATGTTGGCAAGTCTACTAATTATACCTATAAGTCAGTTAGTGTAAAAGCCCATCCAAACAACTAATTATACCCAAATAAGCCACAAACCTCAGTTTCACATTTCTCCATGTGCTTTTACCATCACAAACGGCAATCCAAACGTGGCCTATGTTTTTCTCTTGTAATGTGGGGCAGGACATGAGAAGAAAGTTGAGCAAGATGTCTGGTTTTAGGGCATAGGATGATGTGGGGCTTTAGCTAGGCATCCTTTTATCCTATGCTCACAGGAAAGGGAAAAGTTATCATTTTGTCGTCGATAGAGTTAAAAGAAGACTTTCAGAATGGAAATTTAATTGTTTAAGTACAGTAGGGAGAGCTACTTTGGCCAAATCTGTTATAGGGGCTCTTTCTGTTTACTCTGATGGTTTATAATTTGCCTAAATCTATGCTAAATGAAATTGAGAAAGTTCAGCGGAATTTTATTTGGGGCCATAGCATTGATAGAAGAAAGCTTCACTTAGTGAGTTGGGAACAGATCTAAAGACCTTGGTATTGTGGAGGATTGGGGATATAGAATTTGCAGGATACTAATATTGCATGTTTACTAAACCTAGCTTGGAAATTGAAAGTTGGTTCGGGTGGTTTATAGGGAGAAGTGCTGTTACATAAATACAATAAAGGTAATGAAATTGATAAAGAGTTACATGTCCCAAGTACTACTTCGTGTCTGCGGAAAGATATAAGTGAAGTGTGGCACATACAAAACGTGAATACTTGGAGAGGAGCAGTTAACAGCCACTTAACCAGTTTTTGGAAGGATGAATGGGTGGAGTGTGGATTGGTCCTGTGGGATGAGAAGATTAGGGATATGGATCCATCAGTCCTGAATAAGAATGTGGCCGATATGGTCTCTTTTAATGGCAACTAGAATGGGGACAAGTTTCGTTCCTTGTTACCCCAGGAAATGACTGAGAAGATTCAAGTGTTGATGCCACCTGAGCTAGGGGAGGAGGACACTTGGCTATAGAAGGGTGAAGGGAGTGGATTTTACACAGTGCAAAGTGGTTATAGAATTTTGAGAGGGGAGAACTTGGGGGCTCAGGAGAAGACATGGGAAGTCATTTGGAAATGGAAAGGGCTTTTAAGAGTGCAACTATTCTTCTGTCTCATTGCCCTTAATCGATTATACACTGGTGAGCTTAGACGGAAGTGGTTGGGAACAAGAGATGAGTTTGATGTCTGTGCTTCTAAGAGTACAATACACATTCTTTGGGATTTTCGATTTGCAAGAGGGTTTTGGGAAGCTCTGGGACTAAGGTTTCTTGGGCCCTTTTTGGCTGATTTCTATAATTCATCTGATATAACCAAAATCATTCAAAGATGGGTTCAATCCAATCTTACAGATACTGAGGAGGTGAGAGGTATACCTCGTAATACGGTGTTTCGAATAGCCTATTGGTCCTTATGGAACCAGAGAAATGCTAGACTCTTTAGATGTGACACTTTTGATGAAAGATCCTGTGCTTCAAGAGTTTGGAAATTTGTTCTGGAAGTCAGTCGTGCCTTATCATGTGACAATATTTAGAATTTGCTGGAGAAGAATGATAGGTGCATGACACATGCTAGCGGAAGAGGCCACCGTCAGGTTGGGTGAAGATTAACTTTGACGGAGCATCTAGAGGCAATCCGATCTTGCTGGTTGTGGCAGTGTTATTAGAGATGATAAGGGGAGTGGGTCTTTAGATTTGCAAAGAAAGTCGGCTTCTGTAATGCCCTAGTTACAGAAGCGTGG